GATCAAAGTTTGCCAATGATATCGCGTAGAGCTCGCGCGCTCAGATCCGTAACTACACATAGACGCGTAGCGATCTGTCATCTATTATTGATTTTACAAATCAGGTAATATTGATTTTTATTACACAGCTGATTTTATTGTTTCTTATGTGTATGAATACCATGTACAGCGGTCAGTTGATATTAATGAACTATAAATGTTGTACGTAAAATTTTTAATTTCTTCTTAAATAACAATTTAAATGATTGATTAATTACTATATTTGGTAATTATTAGGGGTAATTAGTAGGGAGCCACCTTGAATGACTTTGACCTTGACATATGTTGTCAAGGACATGACCCTGAGTAACTTCTTCTTATAACTTAATCGGCGATTTCTTATAATTTCTGAGATATTTAAAGGTAAAGTTTGATTCGAAACGAAAATTTGGTTTGGGTTATACAACGTAACTCACCCAATTTGGTTATTATTTACATTAAATATTTGGTTTGGATTAAGTTATATCTTTAGGAAGTGGAGCACTTCCGTAGGGGGGGAGGCGGAACCCACTGTGTCCACGCGTATACTTTATAACGCGAAGTGAGGTCCACCCCACAATTGTTGTGTGGATGGGAAAGTGTATATGTGGACACAGTGGGTTCCGCTCCCCCTACGGGGGGGGGGGGGCCCCAATTAGATGTCCTAAGCTGGGTCTCATAAAATCAATAGGAACGCAGTGAGTTCCGCTCCCCCTACGGGTGGGCTCCACTTCCGGAAGATATAACCTAACCCAAACCAAATTTTAATTTAAAATTAAAATTTGGTTTGGGTTAGGTTATATCTTCCGGAAGTGGAGCCCACCCGTAGGGGGAGCGGAACTCACTGCGTTCCTATTGATTTTATGAGACCCAGCTTAGGACATCTAATTGATCATTTTGTGACCAAAATTCACCGTCATTTTGCCATTTGGGTTTGAGATCTTTTAAATTCATTTAAATGCACCATTTTATATGAATGGCCAAAAGTTGCAGATTCTGATCGGTTTCTGCTACCAATCTGCCGTCAGTTTGCGCGCGCGCAGATCCTGCTCGGTTTCTGCTGCCAATCTGCTCTCAGATTCTGCGAACAGGCTCTGCTGGCAGATCATTAGCCTAATGCGGACATAACAGATGCCAAATTGCTAGCAAGAGCTGAGGAAATCTGTTGCCAATCTGCTGGCATATTGCGCGCATTTTGCTTACTGGGCAATATACCAATTACTTCCTTTAGCACTGATACAAAGTGGCAAATTTCTCAAACTTTTTTTGTTTATAACTTTTTAATAAACAGTGACCGCCAATTAAGTTATAAGGAAAAGTTACTCAGGGCCATGTCCTTGACAACATATGTCAAGGTCAAGGTCATTGGAGGTGGCTCCCTTATACTACATAATTACCTTATATTTAAATAGAGAAAAATAAACTTAATATTTTCACACATTTAAGAAACAAAGTTTATTTTTGTTTTGATCGCGCGGAGAAGTTTTGTGAAAAAAAATTTATTTCTTTTATCTGTCAGCAATAACAGATGACAGATCAGTACGTGTATAAATGTAGTTACGAGCCTGAGGGAGCAAATTCTACGCAATATTATCGGCAAACTTTGATCACTTATAACTCAAAAACTATTGTAGCCTCGATATTTTTGTATTAAAATTTTTTACTCTGTTTTGCCTCTAGAATATGCTATTAAAATATTGTACAGAGGTTGTAAGACACCTTGTATATACAGGGTGAGTCATTTTAATCAATACACGCAAATATCTTGTAAAGTAAGCAAGATGGAAAAAAATGTTTTATACAAAAGTTGTAGGGATCACATGATGAAGATATGGACTTGACCTTGAGTGATTTTTTCAAGGCCAAGTCAATATGATCGATGTTTTCTTAAATGGAACCCCCCATTTTTTATTGCATATTCTTGTAGTTTATCTCGAGAGCTTCTCAAAACACTGTAATAAAGTATTTTTTCATTAAGTACTTTTTGAGTTATTTTATATCTTAATCTGACATATTTTGATATAAAAAATAAAATATCTCGTAAAATATTTAGTTTTCGATAATCTCACCGTAATACTTTTATGTACAGAATAATAACACAAATCAATCAGTGTAAAGAAAAAAACAAATAATTGTCTTAAAAAGCATAAAAAAAAAATTGTTTTTAAGAAAAAGTATGTAATTATTTACAATGTATGTTTTTAAACATTTATTTGTTTTTTACACTAATTGATTTGTCTAAATATTTTACGAGATATTTTATTTTTTATATCAAAATATGTCAGATTAAAATATAAAATAATTCAAAAAGTACTTAATAAAAAAATACTTTATTATAATGTTTTTACAAGAATATGCAATAAAAAATGAGGGTTTCCATTTAAAAAAACATTGATCACATTGACGTGGCCTTGAAAAGGTCATTCAAGGTCAAGTCCATATTTTCATCATGTGTCCCCCTCTGAATCATACAACTTTTGTATAAAACATTTTTTTCCATCTTGCTTACTTTACGAGATATTTGCGTGTATTAATTTAAATGACTCCTGTATATAGGAGGGTGGAGGAGGGAGGGTAAGAGGGAGAGGGAGGGGGAGGGAAGAGGTAGAGATAGAGGGAGAGGGAGAGGGAGAGGGAGAGAGAGAGAGAGAAGGTTAGAGAGAGAGAGGGGGGGGAGGAATAGAGAGAAAGGGGCGGGAGGAAGAGAGAGAAAAAAGCGGGAGGCAGAGGGAGAGGAATTATGAAAATTAATGTATGTATGTATGTGTATATATACAGAGTGGCCCCGAACGTTCCAGCCAGACTTTGAGATCTTATAGGAAATTTAATTCTGAACAAAAAATTTCCTATAAACATGGCTCGAAAAATGCTTTTTTAAGAAGTTATCGCTCAAAAACCCCTTTAGAGTTTTACTTGTGAGGAAGAGTGAAAAATGAAGTTTACTCAACGCCAATCGAGTCTCGTGAACATCTGATCCAACAAATAAATACGACTTTTGATCGATTAAAGTTGAATCAGGAGGAAATCCGTAAAGCGACTAGATCGGTCATTACTCGATGCCGAAAGTGTATTGGAGCTAGGGGGGGACATTTTGAGAACAGTTAGTTTTTTCACGTCTTTATTCATTTTCTACTATTACGTGCTATTTTAGTTTAAAAAAATTTATTTTATTTTCATAAAAGAAAAAGATTTTTATTTTTTATTTTTAT